AATCCCTACCGTACTTGATGCATATAAAGACAATATTAAATGCATAGCATTAATAACGAAGTTTTTACTTTACTAATCAAATATATTACGATTTTTATAATCCAGAATAGCGATTCCATCGTCTCGTATCCATTTGGCATCAACAGTCTCCACGTGATTCGGCCCGTCGCATTTCGCCCTCGATGTAATTTGCGCGCCGTGTCCCGTGCCCCGCGTGCTGATTGCACACGGTGTCACAGGCTGATCGCCGGCAATGCGCAGCTGTCGCCCGAAAGAGATCTCCTCATGTTATCATTGTTGTTAATGATTCCTGTTATGCAGTGTATGTATAGTGTTGTTCACACAATGTTGTCATTGTATCTATTTAGCCGCTGATGGGCGCGTGCCATGCTATCTGAACTTCTCGAATGCGGCATCGCGGCTGCTGTGCGCTTTTAGGATCGGATCGTAGATCGAGAGCTGAAGCTTGATTTTAAATCATGGGTATTATATTTAGATTTTCGTATTTGCATCAAAACGAATCTGTGAGTTGCTCACTCTAATGACTTCTTGTTTGTTTGTCAATAAAGAACTTGTAGAGATAATTATATCTGGCACCCTTACCTTTCCACAAATCGTTTTCATGTGTATTTTTAACAGCAATCAGAATTTTAGTATTAAATAATATGTTGTAATCGCAATTATTAAATAATATGTTGTAATCGCAATTATTAAAAAGCAATCCAATGATTGGCCTAAGGTACCACAACGGTTATCCTTTTCTAATAGTGATGATACTCAACTCGCAGCATACCCAGAAGGGATATTTTCACTGGCAAATTTGTAACTTCCCGTAGGGTAAGTTATAGTAATCGCAAAAAAATCGAAAATGAAATTTTTTATATATCTTTACGTTTCAGAGGTTTCTGAATATTTTGCCATACTTTAGAAAAAATGGATGTATGTGTGTGTGTATGTGTGTGCGGATACAAATTTTCGTCGACGATTTCGGGAACACGGATGAACCGATTTGAATAATTCAAAAAACATTCGATTCGTATTGATAAGGAAACATGCTGATTAGTTTTTGGCAAAGGCAGGTCTAGCCGTTCCGAAGATATGGGGCAAAAAGTGCCAAAAACAGTAACTCAGTTTTTAAGAGAACGGAGCGTCGGATTTGAATAATTCAAGAAACATTTTACTTGTATTAACAAGATGAAGAACTGATCAAATTTTCATGAAGGCAGGTCTAGCGGTTTCGGAGATCTAGTGACAAAAGTAAAAAAAAAATGCCATCTGGCGGTCAAAAATGATCATTAGACATATGCACATCAAATTATCAGATATTTTATAGTCATTTTAACAATAAGTATATTTTGTTTACATTCCAATGGGTTCCATACCTATGCTTATCCGTTAGACGGCGGCGCGGCGCTTACGCGCTTCGATATTTCGTTTCTATGCAGTTAAAGCAGTACGATTGCTTTGAAAAAAAGTTCAGGATTTCCAAAATATTTCAAAACACACTTTTCTTCAGAAAGTCTTTTTTCAAAAAAAAGTAAATTTTCATAAATTTTCGTAAATTGTCAAAAATTTATAGTTTCTCAAAAATCTAATTTTTCAGAGTAATTTTTTTTCAAAAATATTAATCTTTTTTAAAAAAAAATAATTTTTGGTACGGGAATTTCCAGCAATTTGCCTTAAGGCACGATGCCATGCGCCCCACTAGTTTATGATCTATATTCTCACTACTGTTTAATATCATGTGTATCTTGATATCAATAATGATACGCTCAACCCAATCTCCAGAAAATTTTGACAATTATTTTCTAAAATTGTGTATGGAAACAAGTTTTTTTTAGTACAAGAACTTAAATCAATTAAAATGAATGACTTGAGGTGCTTCTGACATCTTGTAAGTGTCTTTTTCATTAAATTAATGTCTATTTAAAAAAGGCACAGTGTCAACAAACAAATGTACTATGAAATTAATTCAGACAAGATACATCATAAAATACTCATATAGGATCAATCGATTTGAATTATTCAAAAAACATTCGGTTCCTTTCATATTAACTGTGAAAAGTGCTGTTTAGTTTTTAGCGAAGGCAGGTCCAGTCGTTTCGAAAATACGGGGCAAAAAGTGTCCAAAATGGCAATTCAGTTTTTGAGAGAATGAAGCGTCCGATTTGAATGATTCAAAAATCATTTACTTGTGTTGGCGAAATGAAAAAATCTATTAAATTTTTGGGAAGGCAGGTCTAGAGGTTTTAGAGAACCAATAAAAAAACGTTAAAAAAATTATTTTTATATCTTTTATGTTACGTTACAGGAAGTTCCAGCAATTTGAAAATGTGCTATGCACCACTAGTTTACAAAAAAATACAAAAGATAGTGATAATATTAAATAATGCAATTAATTCAAATTATAAATGAGTAATTGATTTTATAGTTCAATTAACAACATTTATGATAATACTAGTAAACCGTACATCATCGCTTTGTTATAAAATATCTGTCATTAATGTTATTTCAGCATGATTAAACTTTCAATTGTATCAATGCAATAAATCATCGTTTATAAGTCATTGTAATATGTAATTGTATACGATAAAAGTACAAAAGAATTGTATGAATGGATTAGTATCATATTGCGTTTCCATTGATGCATTTACATGTAAAATATATTTCAATGATTCTCAATAATTTACTATAATATTTAACGATTTTTAAAATTGACTGCACAGTAAAAACATCATAAATGTATAAAATAACAAAGCAAATTGATATAATTGTTAATAATTATCCGACATTTTAGAAATGTGTTATGAAATAGCATAATAGCACGTCATGTGATTCGGTGTTTCAATCACGACAAAATATAGGGTAAAGCAGGGTTTTAAGGTCCGCGGGTAGAAAGATCCACTGCCAATATCTCAAAAACAAGTAAAGTTAGGAACTTTTTAACAACAGTATTTGAAAGTAGGGAAAAAATGTGTAATCAGGCATCGCCCCAAATCAAGCAAAGTCAGGAGATAAACGGCAATGTTTGAAAATCTATAACAAAAGTATTTCCTTTCGTTGTTAGTTTGTTTGATTGTGAGCAAAAATGCAATTTTACAAGAAATAAATTGAAGTAATTGTTATTCTAACTCCGCTATTGAATATTTCTGACGAAATGCCAGATCAAGGTTATATACCGTGCCAGTTAGCAAATTAAACCCATGTCAAGTTAACTTAATATACAAAGTTATCTTACGGCCAGCGCTCAGGCTATTGCTTCCATTAAATCTACTCTGACGCTTGTAAGTGTCAACTAAAGATATATTATCTCATTAAATTAATATTTTTATAGCTAATTGACTTATGTTGTGCTGATTGGCAATTAAGTTGAGACATCCAATTATGATGTTATACTGGAGAAAACGTTCATGACACTTTCTTAGACAAAGTCTATTTCAGAATTAGAAAAAGAAAAATGACTACTGCGAACTCGCATTCATTACAGACGCATTTGTAATCGTTGAGATTTTCTTCGATGAGAAGAATTACATAGAATTAGAATTACCGTTTTAGTTATATTCGATGTATTAACTTCGTTTGAGACCAAAATTTAATTGCATAATTAATGTGTGTGCGTTTATGTATGTGAGTAATAGCCCAATTTTGGCCTAACATTTAAAAGCCATTTAAGAAAACGGAATAAGGAATCGCATTAATTAGTTTTGCGAGGTGATCGGTCAAAAATTTTGTACCAATTTTAAAACTTCAAAACTTGTTCGACAGATTTCAGTTGGAAATTATCCTGATTTTTATTTGGTAAATATTTTTTTAATTTCATCGTATTAAATTCTTGAAAAAAAAAACGACAATTTTGTACAAACTGTATATAATAACAGAGTTCTGAAACAAAACTGATCAAATATCATATGCCAAGGAAAAGTGGCTTAAATCGTCAAAGATTAGCATAATGAGGCCTGACAAAATGTCAACTCGATCGTCATTATTTTAAAAGTGCTAATTTTTAATTATTTGTTATTCAGTCTTGTATTAAACTATTATTCAATATTTCTCATAATCCTCTCATAAATTCTCTCTAGAAATTAAATTACTATTACACCGGACTATAATAATCTTCTGGAACAAAGTTGCATACATTCATTTATCAATAACACAGGTCCACAAAAAAAAGTTTCTGTATTTGGTATGCGGAATATGTTTTCCAGTTTAGTTTTTAACGCTGAACACGAATTTAAAATCAAAATTTGGGGTCAATCATCAATAAATTTTAAAAAAAATGAAAAAAACGACAAAATCTCCGATCTCGCAAGTTTTCTGCAAGATAATTAAAATCTTATTTCTATCGTTTCTTGGCAAACATATTTACTACCCATTACCACTGGGTCACAAATTTTAAATTGCAAACATTATTGAAATTTAATATTTGTGAAAATGTTGGCAAATTATTGTTGTATTCTACAAAAAAAAATAATAGATCATTTAAGTGAATATCCAATAATCATTTAGGGAAAGGGTCAGAAAGCGACTGAAATTATAAGGTGTTAATTATCATGCAGATGAATTACTGATCGGAGGCTTTGCCGGTTTTTCTACTTTTTTTACTTTCTTGACCCCCAATTTTATCTTAAAATGCGTGTTCAGTGGTAAAAACTACATTGGAAAACATATTCCGCATAGCCAACACAGATTTTTTTTGTGGACCTGTGCAATCACTATGGTTTGTAACATTATTTAAATTATTTCATTACGACCTTATTAGATTATATTAATATCTTTAATTATGTTAATTTTATAAGAAATATTACCAAGTGTGTAGTATCATAGTGGTCATTTGCAATTTGCCAAATATTTAGTCGCTATATTGTCAAAAAAAAGTTCAACTATTATAATTCAAATTGCATAAAAAAATATAATTTTTTTTGTCTATACGATGATATTTTCAAGAAGACGAACTCTAGTTGTCAACGAATTCTGTTTAATGTTAAGTGTGGTTTACTTACTCGTAAAAATGATGTATGGTCGTCGCGCATTGCAGATGCACAAGTTCTCGCACTGTACAGTACAGACAGACGCAGTGTACATTAATTGCATTAGCAGAGATCTGGAAATAAATAGGAACGTTACAGATTTATATACACAGTTTTAACAGGATTACAATATATGCCATGCACAAGAACTGATTATATTTATAGGCTTTGAATCACAAGCGCAACTGAATTTACTTTAGGGGTGGCCCCCGCGTCAGTAAAATGAATTAGTTTGATGATAGACGAGAATCCATAGTCGTAAAATGTTTTGCTTATTGTTAGATCGATAAACAATGTTGATAGAAGCTAATTTTAATTGAGTTATTGCTGAAGTTTTGAATTTATTGAATGCGAACTGATCCCTTCCTCAAAATATATATCACATCATTGAATATCTCGGATACTTACATAGATGTATATTTAGAAAAATGTATATATCGATGTAATATGATTTTATAACTAGAGGTGTGTATGGCATCGTGCCTTAAGGCAAATTATTGAATAGATTAAAGAATATTAAATAGATTATTATAAATAAATACTATAACATTGTCTAATATTCATAAGAATTATATAAGCTGAATCACAAAGTCAAAAATATTTATTTAAAGATTGGAATTGTTTTTCCAAAAGCAATTATTTTGTTAAAACAAGCGGAAAGTTCTTTGAATCATTCAAATCGAACGCTTAGTTCTCTCAAAAACTGCCATTTGCACATTTAGCTCTGTATCTCCGAAACCGCTGGACCTGCCTTTACCAAAAACTAATCATCACTTTTCCCAGTCATTACGAATTGAATGTTTTTTGGATCATTCAAATCAGTTGATCGAAAACGTGGACGAAAAATTGCATCCATACATATATACACACACACATCCAAATTCTGAGGTATGCCAAAATGTTCAGAAACCTTCAAAACGTGAAGAAATTTGAAATTTTCAATTTCGATTTTTGGACGATTACAATAACTTACCTTACGGGAAGTTAAAAAAAAACGCCAAGTATTCTGCGTGATGAACAATCATCAGAAAAACTAGATTTTTTTAAAAATATTATTCATGATGGACAATAAAAAAAAATCCTGAAAAGTAAATAAATTATTTGTTTTGACAAGTTTTCAAGCCTTAAGTATTGGTAGGATTTTCAAATCTAGCAGGGTTTGCCAAAGTGTGGCACTCGCCATAGAAGGAGACAATTGGATAGCTAACAGAGGCAATTTAAAAATCGACACAACATAACTTTACAAAAAACAACAAAATTTATAAAGGAGCAAAACAATTCTGAATATGCAAAAATTATTAACGTAGACATGAAAATGTTAGAGATGGTAAAGTAAAACATGGCCTAAAAATATTGGGAAACATAGAGTTAGTTAGTCTAAGCCAACATTTTAAGTAGCTTACGCCCAATTATGAAAAAAATGACGGTAAATTCTTTTTTCATGTTGTCACACAATAGAAGCTTAATTCTTAACATAATAGCTTAATACTTACTTTTTTATTGTCATATGAATTAAAAATTTAAAATCTATCCAATTCTATCCATTAGTAATTGTGAATTTCTGACATAGATTTTTTTTGCAAAAATGCTCGTAAAAGTTATTTTCACTTGCAAATATAATTTTGATCTTATATTTCCAAGGGAAAATGCATATCACTACTGGCTGCACGGCCAGAGTCTCTACGATTGTGCTACAAGCATGACACTCCTCCTTTTTCATTTAATTAATATTTGACATGTCATATTACATCAAATTTATTCTTTAGCCACAAAATAAAAAATACTGTTAGACAGTGGAGGAAGACTATTAAACAAATGTCGCTTTTATGTTATAAACAATACTGGTAAATATATAGTTAAAAAATTTATTAAAATATAATATATATAGTTTTATCTGGCACAAAATCAATTACGAGCTTTTAAAATCATCTATTTAAAATTATAATGAAAGTTTTGAAAAGTATTGAATTAAATTATACTAAATTAAGTGCATCATTCATTCAATAATCTAGGCTTTTTCTCACGGTATTAAAACAAAATTAACATATTAATGACTCACAATAAATATTTCTTAGGTACTGTCTGTACATGTAGCACAAGGTTAAATTCAAAATTAAGATAACATTATATTTATCAAAATTGTTGTTTTCAATTAATACGAATGAAAGTAATTGAAACTTCGCAATTAAACTATAAAAATAATTAAAAATACCAAAAAAAACTTTAGTATAGTTTATGGTAGGTGTTCCTTTCTTTATTGCCACCTCTTAATTTTCAATACATATTAAACAATTTGCATTTAATGTTAGACTATTTTAATAGCATCGTATTTATTGCATGCATCTGGCTCGGCGTCGTAATTACATAAATTACATCAAAATTGCGTGCGCAATCAATCATGTTATTTTACACCGTATTTTCCTTGTGTGTAGCATTAATGGTATGTAATTAAAAATGACCTTAATAATATCTCACAAATATAGGACGCATTTAATCAATAATTTCATCTCTAGAATGTTTGTTAATTTTATGGTAGATTCTAAGGAAAATTTGTGACATCCGTTCGTTAAAATGTAATTTAGGTAAATGAATTTTTAAATTTTTAGTCGTAAAACTATGATAAGATTTAATCAAAAAGATAAAAGTTATTCGATACAACACACTATTTTAGATAATAATTAGACTCATTTATATAGGGATAATAGTATTAAGGAATGGACAGATAGTTGTAGAATACAGATTTAAAATCAATTAGGTTAAACCTATGCGTCAAAATATAATTCAGGTAAATGGTTATTTAATCGTTTTGTAAATACTACTTTTAAGCTAAATAACCTAGATCCCTAATTAGTTTTTATTTATAAATCGGAGTTTAACCCTATGGGTTATGGACTGTGGATTATTAATTGTATAAACTCAGTCAAGTGTTTGAAAGTTAATATATACTATACTAGAATGTACAAAATTAGCGTGAACTTACTCTTTTATTTACTAATATATTATAAATATATTTATATATAAGGTAGAGGGGTCCGCGGGTAAGAAGGTCCACCACCGATATATCAAAAACGAGTAAAGTCAAGATTTTCTTAACAACAATATTTCAAAGTAGAGGAAAAAAATATATAATCAGTATTTACATTAATTCTTTCCGCGTTGCTATTGGGAGATAAACGGCAATGTTTGAAAATCCATAAAAAAATTCTTTCCCGGTTAGTTTTTTTGTTTGTGAGCAATGTTGTCTAGCTTGCGGGACCTTAATAAAATTATTAAGTATACGTTATTTAATTGTTTCATGAGATGTATTGATAATTTTAAGTTAGATTCAACAGTTTTTTTTATATATATAACCTTTATAAAAGCTTACACCTGGGTGGGGTAAAAAGGACCAATTGAACCTTTACCCTGGCAAAGGTGTAAACAATAAAAACTAGTAAATAGAAAAATAAATTGAGTTAAAAAAGGAAATAGTCATTCCAACCCTGTTGTTGAATATTTCTTACAAAAACTAGATCAAGGTTATATACAGTGGTATTTCTGTAAAAACGTACTCATGAAATTTATATTTGCTTTGGTTGAATAATGTAGCTATTATTTCGTAAAATCCCTTTAAAATTAAGAATAAGACATTGGATCTATTTGTCTCCTGGCCGTAGCCAGGACAAGGTGATCAATTTTTGAAAAAGGGGATAAAACATATTTCTATAATGATGAATTAGCTGAGAATTTTACTGAATTTAGTGAGATAGTTGGTTGTTTGATATGTGTTGTTATCATGAACCGCTATGATTGAAATGCAAAATGATAAAAAATATGACAGATCAAAACAAACTATGACAAAAATCTATAAATTTCTACATAATGATAAAGATAATTTATAGATAGAAGATATGAAATATAAATAGAGATTTAAATAGATTTCGCCACCATATTTTTGAACATTCCTCGTTTGTCGTGTATATCACATTTTCATATTACTTAATCGATACGACTATTTAATCTATTGTGAAATTGTTCTTTAATAGATATTTTAATCGCCCGGAACGTGTTAATAATAAGAATGAAAATGCTTTCATCCAATTGTATTTTTTTTATTTTATCCTGCCCAATCTATTCAACCAGAATCAGACAGAGACCATGTGTGCATCTAATGCCGACATTAGACCTACCTGAATACCAATTGTATTAAACAGCGTCGAGTGAATACTTCTCCCTAACAATTGATTTTGAAAATCAAAAGGCTTTTATATTTAAACGAAAGAAATAATACATAGTATCACAAAACCGGAATAAAATAGATATTTCATGGTAATATATTGGGCTATCATCATGCATATACAGAAATCATATACCGTATTGCTTCAATAGAACTTCATTTACATTGTTTTATACTTGTGCAACAAACAGATGAAATTATTTAAATAATAAATTTATTCAGAAAGCAAAAATGCATTATTAAGTAATTAATGCATGATTGTTCTTAAATTTATTTTTAAGGTAGCGCATAATCTATTTTGATATATAAATTATAGACCAACACGACAACTATTACTTGGTCGGTAAAATCTCATTCAAAATTTTTAGTTACAATTATTTTATTTCCAGGTTTAGTTGCACTATATAAATATTGACTTACAACTATTTTATAATCTTGACGAATATATTATTAATAATGTACAAGAAACCAGTGATATTTTGCCTTAAGACAAATTATATGTAATTTATATAAAAATCTTGAAGTTGATTATTATTAGTTTGTTTAATTCTTTCAGATTATTCTTTTTTTGAACTGTTGAATACAATACTAATGCATTTTTTATTAGTAAAATGCCGACTAAAAGCAATTGTAACTTGAAAAACATTTATTAATATCTATATTTTTAAGTAAAAAATACTGTCACTACTGCTTGTGTGTCTACCAGTCTATCTAAGGTGTATATCTAAAGTAGAAGTTCTGATTCAAATCCCACAGCTCTAACCACTAATCCACGGGGGCTCCCTAAGATCGGTGAACGTTAAAAAGTAATTGAAACCTATAGCGATCCAATTTAAAAT